CCCCAAAACCCCAAAACCCCATAATCAAAAATTTTAACTAAAAGTAGAATTACGATTATTTTCAAATTCATAAAGTAAACCTAAATAATCTCAAATATATTCAGAAATAACTTTCCTTAGAATGTTTTTATTAATATCTTTTAAAGCGAGTTTCTCTTATTCTACATTGAGCATTTTAAAATGTTGTATTAAGATATGTTTGATTCTCTCAAATTCCTAAATATCATAAATCACTTGTATAGTTTCATCCTTTGGGTGCTCGGACCAGATTTGTTCTTCATAATAATGATTTTTAGTATTTAAATTTATGTCAGCACCATTTCTAACCAATAGCCTTACTATATCGAAATGTCCTTTATAAACTGCAGCAATTAAAGGAGAAAGTTAGTAATAAGTCTTTTTGTTTAGATCAGCTCCTTTAGATATCAAATATTCAGCAACCTCGTATCTGCCAAAATAGCATGCTATAAATAGTAGAGACTCATCGTATTAAGTAGCTTTATCTACATATTTTCCATTTTCAGTTAAAAAATTTAACTCCAAAATAGTTCTAAAAGCTGAACAAGTAAATGCTAATCCTTAATCTTATATATTTTCTTATTTCTTGTACGATTTTTGAAAATACAAAGATTATGAAAGAAAGGGCTGAATTCTTTGAGAATTTAATGGCATCCATTCATCAAATTAAAAGGTCCATCCTTAGTATCCATTTCTGCAAAATACTCTAAATTCAACAAATGCCATTTTAATTATTTAATTAATTTTAGGTTCAACTATCACCTTGATTTCTCCAATTGTAGATCTACTCCAATCATCATCATGAATAGAATCAATAATCATTTTTTTTTGGAGTTTATTTTATTTTTCATATGATTCTTTTGTTTAGCTTTAGAATTAAGCAATCTTGATAGACCATTTGCTTATGTATTTTTTATTCTGCCAATTATCGAAAATAAAGTCTAGTTCAAGATAGGTGAAAGAAGTAATTGAAATAATTAATGCTTGAACCCATACATATTGCCTTTAAGATTTTGGTAATTCTAGGCAAACATCAATTAAATCTCCTACCTTTAAATCTTATCTCCAAGATTAACCTTTAGTTTTCTCGCTTTCAATTTCATCAATATCAATTAATAAATCCTTTATTCTTTGATATTCTTAGTTCTCAATTTACTATTCATCTTCAATTTTCTCCATTTTTCAATTTAATAATAATTTTTATCAGATAAAATATTGTATTGATAATTAAAATTTGATTAAGACCGAAGAAAATTAAGAAGGTTACTTTGAATTTATTTTTAGAAAAGTAAATATTATGAATATTTTAGATTAATGGGGTTTTGGGGTTTTGGGG